ACGGGCAGCGCCCTGCGGGGTGGCTGTGCCGTAGGGGGCGCTGCTCCGTGGATCAGACGGGCAGCGCAGTGCAGGGTGGCTGTGCCATAGGGGGCGCTGCTCCATGGGTCAGACTGGCAGCGCAGTGCAGGGTGGCTGTGCCGTAGGGGGCACTGCTCCATGGATCAGACAGGCAGTGCACTGCAGGGTGTCTGTCCCGTAGGGGGCGCTGCTCTATGGATCTGACGGGCAGTGCAATGCAGGGTGGCTGTGCCGTAGGGGGTGCTGCTCCATAGCCTGGCAGGGCAGTGCTGCGCAGTGGGGGTATGAAGCTGTTGGAAGGCAAAGCTCCAGGTACAGCTCTTGTTCTGGGGCAATGCATGAGGCCGTTGTAGCCTGAGTGGGTTTGGTCCCTGCAGGTTCGAGATGGGGCGGATTTACACCTACATCGGGGAGGTGGTGGTCTCCATGAACCCCTACAAGCAGACGCAGCTCTACGGGAAGGACGTGATCGAGCAATACCAGGGCCGAGAGCTGTACGAGCGGCCGCCGCACCTCTATGCCGTGGCCGACGCCGCCTACAAGGCCATGAAACGCCGAGCCAAAGACACCTGCATCGTCATCTCAGGTCTGAGTGGGCGGGGCAGCCAGAGCCCCTCTGTCTGTCCATCCGTCCGGCCCACACATGCACTCACGTAGGAGCATGTATCCTGATTCCTGCTTCCTCTGTGATTTTTGTCAGCGCCACCCCTTGGCGCATCGCTACGACATGCTGGACTCCCACCCAGCTCTGCCGAGCACCTCCGTCCCGGCCCAGAGCCCCCTGCTGCCCCTGTCCTTGTGCCATCTGAGGCCTATTCTGCAGCAGCCCCAGCTGGACCAACCCTTGACCGCCTCGACCCCACGTCCTCCTGGAATTCTAGTCTTGGCTCCCTCTAGAGCTGGAACCCCCAAGTAGCTGGAGTCATCTGGGGCGGCTTCAGGCTGCGAACAAACGTCCCCTCAGGATCGGGCTGGCAGCGCTGCACCCACTTCCCCTTGCCCACAGGGCACCTTGGAAGCCAGCAGTGCAGCGATGGCAGGGCTCTGGCATTGCCCACCCTCCTCCCCCAGGTGTCACCTTGCTCCCCCCCCATCTGTTCAGCTGGGGGTCACACTTTCCCTGCGAGCTCAGCGGTTCAAATATGGCCCAGGTTGGCCATGCCTGGCCATCCGCGAGCTGAGTTCAGCAGCCTCAGGGCAGTTCCTAGTGGCCACAATACTGACAGCCCATCACCAGCACATCTGCATGGGAACAGGCCGCGGACCCTCAGCTGCCCCCACCCAGCTGACGGGGCCCTGCCAGGCCAGGGCTGGGCACAAGGGACGGCTGGTGGAGGCTTGTCCTCCTGCAGGCTGCGCTGGCACCGAAGGCTCCGTGCTCCAGCCCTGAGCTCACCAGCCGCCGGGGTCGCAAACCCCATCCCCTAATGACCTCCCGGGTGTGTGCCGGGGCGATGGGCGTTAACCTAGGGCAGCAAAGCCTCGCCCGTCCTGCTGTCCTCTTCCCATCCTGTCTGTCTGTCTTGCAGGGGAGAGTGGTGCTGGGAAGACGGAAGCCAGTAAATACATCATGCAGTACATAGCGGCCATCACTAACCCCAGCCAGAGGGAAGAGGTGGAGAGGTGAGAGGTCACAGCAGCACTGGCCCGTGCACTGGGCTGGGACTCAGGAGACCTGGTCTCTGTTCCCAGCTCTGCCCATGACCTGTCGGGTGACCTTGGTCAAGTCCCTTCCTCCCTGTGAACAGCTGCCGCTACCCTGAGTAGGTGGCAAGTGCTGCGGATCGTCCCTGGGTGCAAACAGGAGGGGGGGCTCGTCTGTGGCAAGCCCATGGAGGCGCCAATCCCGATTCTGGGGGTAATGCAGCCTGACCCCCCCCGTGATGTTCCCTTCATTGCTTCCCGCCCGGCCCAGGGTGAAGAACGTGTTGCTCAAGTCCAACTGCGTCCTGGAGGCCTTCGGCAACGCCAAGACCAACCGCAACGACAACTCCAGCCGCTTCGGCAAATACATGGACATCAACTTCGACTTCAAAGGGGACCCCACCGGCGGCCACATCAACAACTACCTCCTGGAGAAGGTACGGCCCTGGGTCCCCTCCGGGGCTGCCCGAGCAGGGAGGGGCAGTGGCAGGGGGGAATGGAAGCGGGGGGCCGGTAACATGCACTGCTGGGTGAAGAGGATGGAGGTGGGCACCATGGGCCCAGTGCTCGGAGCAGCGCCCTTGCGGCACAGCATTTGGCTGGTTCGCGTGCGGGTCGGGCCGCAGGGTCTGGGTGGAAGAGGCCGAGAGGATGAAAGGCATCCTGGGAATGTCAGAGACTAAGGGCAGGCCTGGGAGGCAGTGGAAAGCTCGGGCTTTGCCGTAATTCACCTGGCCGTGCCTCCAGGCCGGGTATGAGCCTCGAGCCCCCTCCTCCCTCGCTAGGGAGATGCCGTCACCCTGGGTTGGAAGATCCCCTCTCCTTTTAATCCGGGCTGTGGTAAGGGGCGGAAGGACTTGGTTCCTCCTTAAATCAAGGACCATTTGCTCACGGTGTCCTTCATCGATCCCAGGGCCAGAAGGGACCGTCGTGATCATCTGGTCTGGCCTCCTGTCTAGCCCAGGCCAGAGACTGCCCCACAATCATTCCCAGAGCAGATGGTTTAGAACAGGGGTAGGCAACCTATGGCACACGTGCGGAAGCCGGCACGCAAGCTGATTTTCAGTGGCACTCACACTGCCCGGGTCCTGGCCACCGGTCCGGGGGGCTCTGCATTTTAATTTAATTTTAAATGAAGCTTCTTAAACATTTTAAAAATCTTATTTACTTTACATACAACAAGAGTTTAGTTCTATATTATAGATTTATAGAAAGAGACCTTCTAAAAACGTTAAAATGTATCACTGGCACACAAAACCTTAAATTAGAGTGAATAAAGGAAGACTCGGCACACCACTTCTGAAAGGCTGCCGACCCCTGGTTTAGAAAGATCTCCAGTCTTGATTGAAAGATTGTCGGTGATGGTGGCTCCACCTCGGCTTTTGGTAGATTGTTCCAATGGCTAATTACTCTCACCATCCAAAACTGACACCTTCTTCCCAATCTGAATGTGTCTAGCTTCAACTTCCAGCCATCCCACGGCATCAGACTGCAGCACCCGTTGTTAAATATCTGTTCCTCATGCTGGGACTTAGAGGCTGGGATCAAGTCACCCCTTCACCTGGTGGGGGACAGAGATGTTGCAGGGCTGAGAGACCCAATGAGCTGTGCCCGGGGCAGGCCCAGGCCTGGGGAGCAGGTTCAGAACATGGCTTTCGGGGGAGATAACTGGATGTTTTCCGAGCAGATCGGCCCTCTCCTGGCTGCGCTGGGAAGTACCTAGCAGGCAGGCCCAGGCCTCGGGAACACAGGGACCCTCCCTAGATCCCTCAGCACGTCCTGAGCAAGCAACTCCTCTGTCATTTGTTTGTATTTGAAGGAGAGCAGGGGCCTTGGTTCTCCACATGTGAAGCCTCCTGGTTCAGCTCCATCCTGGGGGGCGTTAGCTGGGCTGGACTGGCTGAGAGTTCCCACCTGGCCTAAACCCTAGAAATCGCGGTGTGCTAGCGCGGTCCCCAGGCCCTCCCGTCACAGGGCGGCCTGCCCCTTTCTGGGCCAGGCAGCCCTGTTCAGTTATCAGACCCGGCTGGGAAGGGCTCTGACGTTTCAGCGGAAGGGCTGAGAGATCTCAGATGGAGGGGGCTGCTGGAAGGAGGCTGGCCCCAGAGCAGGGGAAGAGATGGCAGGGGAGAGGCATCTGGGGCCTGCAGCCTGCTGTGGTCGGGGGAGTGGCCTTTGGGCCTTGCATCCAGGTGTAGTACCAGTCCTTGCTGGGCTGGGAGACAGCCCAGTGGCCATCATCTCCTAAGCATCCAATGGCCTGGAGGTCACGTGGCCCTGCTAGGGGGGCTCACGCTAGAGATAGTGTCGTCTAGTGGTGTGGGCTGGGGGTCAGGAGACAGGCCCTGGCGTGCTGTGGAACCCTATCATGTCTGGGCCTCACTTCCCCCGCTGGAGAGAAGGACGCTGACCTGCCTTTGTCAAGTGCTTTGAGATCCCCCCAGGACAGGCGCTCCCCGAGTGTGACGTATCCTAGACCCCGTGCACCCCAAATGGCAACAAGCCCTTCCGGTGACTCTACCGGAGCTGTCTCGCGCGTCTCCTGTTTGGTTCTTCCGCCCTTCTCGGTGACAGGCTCCGTTCCGATCCACTGCCTCCCAGGCCTGCCCTTAGTCTCTGACATTCCCAAGATGCCTTTCATCCCAAAGCACTGCACACACAGAAATAGCCTCACCCCTCACTGGGATGCAGCCACCTCTGGGGGGCAACGCAGCAGCTGTTTACTAGCTTAGGGCAGGAAGGGAAGACGGCTGTTGGATCCACGCTGCAGGGGGAGTTGAGGCGGACAGGCTGTAGCGACTCACCGGCATTTAGCCAGGACACTGGAGTTAACGCCTCTGCTCTCTTGAAAAGAGAACCGGCTCTTGAACGGTCCCCGGTGGCCAGGACCGCGGCGAGGCCTCCCACCCAGAAGGCCAGGACACTGCTACATTGCTGCATGAACCTCGAAGGGCTGGTTCCATCCTGCAGCAAAATAAGGCACAGGGAGGAATCGGCCCTGTTCCGGCAGCCAACGCTCTGGGTGTGGACTTTCCTTTACCAGGGACCGGCGTGTCCTTTAAGACGAGGGGATTTCTCTGGTCTCACCAGCCCGTTGTCTCTGCTTGGAGCAAATCTGGCAGCTGGCGGTGACTCCTTAGCGACCGGGGCCGAGCTGGATGTGCCAGCACGGGACCCACAGTCATGGGGCGCGGCAAGGACCGGCCTGGGGCTGCGAGACGCGGCCTCCCCAGGCACTGACTTCCTCTGGGTTTTCCCTTGCAGTCTCGCATCCTCCACCAGCAGCCGGGCGAGAGGAACTTCCACTCCTTCTACCAGGTGAGTCGGGGGGAATCCTGGTGCAGTCTGGGGTGCGGGGGGATCCCCGGGAGGCTGCAGGGTTTGGCTCCCTAGGGGAAGGGGCAGGGATAAGGAGGTGATTCAATAAAGACGACTGACAGATGGGATGTGCGCCCATCAGTAGCAGAGGGAAATGCCGCCAGAACCCACCCAGGTCTCTCTAGTGGGGCCCGCTGCCAGTCCGGCTTCAGCCAGGGCCTCCAGGCTTCCTGCCCCCAGCAGTGAGCTTGGGGACAAGCTGCAGGAACATCAGGCTGCCCTGGCAGAGCTGGCCTGCTGTGCCACTGGTGCCAAGGCAGCAGGGATTGGCTGGGGGTGGTGCCCAGGCAGAGCCAGCCTGCGTTGAGTTCATTGGCACCTTTAAGGGGTGGCAGCAGCCCAGCCAGCCGCAGTAAAGAGAGGGAGGAGGAACAAGGGGGAGGTGGGGACGGTTCATAGGCCCCCACCCCACCAGCCACAGGGGCACATCCCGTGGGTTTCCTGCCAGTTGTGGCCAGGCAGCTGTGCCACCAGGTCGGCCCCAGTCCTATGCGCTCAGACCCTCGGATGCTGCCGGGCTGGGGGCAGAGGAGGATCCCGTTCGCCCAGGGAATCTGGCGCTGCAGAGGCCTCGGTGCAGAACGGGGCTGTGCTGAGCGCCGGGACTTGCCGGCGATGCCCCGGTGGCTTCCACTGCTGCTGCACGTCCCTTATTTATAGCGAGCCGGGCCCCGGGCGGGTAACCGCAGGCCGGTGACTCAGAACAGCAGGGGAAGTGGGTGCCGTCACCTTGCGGAGCCACGCGATCTCTGGCACGTTGCAGCCGCCCGCCTCCTTTGGCTCTCGCTCAGCCCCGGCCCAGTAGGGAGCACGTTAACCAGCCGCCCCAAGGATGGGGCCCAGCCATTCCTGTCTCTCCTGCTCCCTCTCCCCCCAGGTCGGGCTGGGAGGGCAGAGCTGAGGCTGCTAGGTAGGGTGACCAGACAGCAAGTGTGAAAAATCGGGATGGGGTGGGGGGTAATAGGCACCTATATAAGAAAAAGCCCCAAATATCGGGACTGTCCCTATAAAATTGGGACATCTAGTCACCCTACTGCTAGGCCAGTTTTCTCCCACCTTCGGCACCACGGTCCAGCTCCTCCTCCTCGCCGGCCAACACCTCGCTACCCTGACCCCCCGTCCTTTCGCTGGGTCTCAGCTCCCTGGGAACACCCACCCGCCTGGGTGTGCTGGGTGAGCTCCCGTGCCTTCAGAGGCCAGCCAGAGCCCCCCTGCCGGGCAGCGGGTGCCAGACATGGCCCAGGTCCTTGCTATCCCCCCATGCCCCGGGTACGAGGGGGTCTCATCCCTGTCTCTCCCCCTCAGCTGCTTCTCGGGGCCTCGGACCCTCGGCTGGTCTCCCTCCATCTCTGCAGAGACCCTGCAGCCTACCGCTTCACCAGCGAGGGCGCCAGCAACAACGTGAGTCCCGGTTCCACGCAAGGGGGGACCACGCCAGGCTGCTCAGGGTTCCCCGAGTGACTGGTGATTGGGGGGCTCAATTGTTGGGCCAGAGACCCGGGCTGAGAATCAGGCCCCTCTAAGGGTCTCAAGTTGGGGCCCCCCCACAAATCACTGATCCCTTGGAAACCTGGGCCCAGGGATCTTCCTGGCCCTGTGCATTGGAATGGGGAAGGCAGGGGCCGGGTGGGTAGCTCGCCCTGGGGAATGGGACTGGGAGCTGCTGCTCCACACCAGAGCCAGCTCTCAGTGCAGCAAAGGCCTGGCTTCCCGACAGGCGCCTCACGGCTGGGCGATCGGATCAGTGGGCTTCCCTCGGCCCGGACAGGTGCAGCTTCGACACTCTGCAGGGAGGGAGCTGCTGGGGCGCTCCGGGACCAAACACATCCCTGGTGTAACCAGGCACAAATCCCATTGACTTCAGTGGAGACTGCAGCCACCTGCTATCTAATGCACCCACACAGTTTCCACCAGGGCTCCCATTAGGCTGAAGTCCCGTCCCCCCACCCCTGGCCGTCCCCCATGGGGGGGCTAATCATAGTTCCTGTGCGGGAGTCTGTAAGCATCCCCGGGTTCACGTGCATCCAGCACCATGAAGGGAGAAAGCCCTGTCTTAAGTGCTAAGCACGGTTCTTGCAGCCCCTGCCTTGAATGTGGGCCATGCCCCTCGCTGGGCGCCTCTCTGCGTCCCGTTCCCCCATCGCACAGAGGAGATGCAGGGCAGGCGGGCAGGTGGCACTTGGAGAAATCCAGCTGGACATGGCTTCTGCTGCATACAGCTCGGAGGGGGCCCCGGGTGCGCCTTTCACCTCCAGGCCAGACGCTGCAGTGCTGGGCGCGAGGTAGATCATCAGTTTCACTCTCACCTCCTGGCTGCCTGGTGGCCTGTGTGAAATGAGTTTGCTGGCTCTCAGCCCAGTCCTCAGTGGATCCAGGGGCGCTGCCCCCATGGGCACTAGCTGCTGGCAAGGACTGAGTCGGCCAAGGCGCTGAGCGATCCCCTTGCCGGTAGAGATGGTCTCTCCGGGGCAGGGGCAGGCACCCTGGGAGGGGCTGTGGGGGCAGGATGCCCAGCATGAACTCCAGCCATACAGCTGGCACCTTCCCCCAGGCTGGGAACCACTCATCTCTCATCTGCTCTTCCCCCCTCCACCCCCCAATCTCCCAGCTGCTGACCAGCGATCAGTCCAACTTCAAGGCCGTGGCAGACGCCATGAAGGTGATCGGCTTCAGCCCGGAGGAGATCAACTCAGTCTACAAGATCCTGGCTACTATTTTACACCTGGTAAGCGATGGCCTGGCCGGCGGATACATCCCTTCCCCTGTGCCTAGCCCAGCCCAGCCAGCACAGGGCTCTCAGCGCCGGCTGTGTTCCGGGTCCACGGGGCCCTTTGAGCCAGCCCAGCCACTCTGCAGGGAGGGGTGTGACCGACCAGGATGGCCCGGCAGGAGTGTCGCCCGGGGCTGGGCACAGGGTCCCCCGGATCGGAACTTGAGTAAGCCCGTGGCAGAGATGGGGGCGGGGTCAGTTTGGGGTACGCGAACCCATTTTTAGGGCTCGGTTCCCACAGCCCTGCCCAGCGTGTGCTTAGCTCCGTGTCACACCTGGCCCAGGTTCGTTGCGGGGGGGAGGAATTTCTTCAAGTTGCGCTGAAGTTGTGGGCCGAAATCTGGAGGGGATCCTCCTAGAGCATTGCCCCCGGAGCCTGCCCAGCCAAACACATGCCAGACTGGTTGGCAGAGGGCTCAAGGGAAATGCACTTCATCAAGCTGAGCTGGGCTCCCCCGGCCCTTCCGGGCGCCCTGGGGGATGCCCGGGCCAGCCACCCCGCCCGGGCCAGCCACCCCACCCGGGCAGCAGATCGAGGCCCAGCACCTGATGGCCCAGGAAGCCAGTGACTCTTCCCCGGGAGGCGGGTGGGTTGGGATTGAGTCTGGATCCGGGTCCTGCAGAGCTTGTGGGTGCTTGGCAGGAGGTTAGCCTTCATGAGGGCACTTAGCAGCGCTCTGGATCGGGCCCCGCCCATGGCCCGGCTGCCAACCTCACTGCACACAGACACGGGCCCGTGGACGTACGGTGCCACGCATGACAATAACCGGGAGGTCTGAGCTACGCTGAGCGGTGCCCGCTCCTCACGGCCCTGTCCCCAGCTCACCCGACTGGGCCCGGGCACTGCGGGTAGGGTTGCCAACTTTGACATATTTAAAAACTGGACACTCCAGCAGGAGTTCTGGAATGTCCCCCCACCCCATCTCTTCCCCCCTGAGGCACTGCCACTGCCCCGCCTCTTCCCTGAGGCCCTGCCCCCTTTCAGTCCTCGCTCCCTGCTCTTCCCCGCCTCCGCCCTGCACCTGGGTCAGGAAGGACCCGCCTGCAGAGCTGGGATTGGGAGCTGCAGCTGCCTGACGCAGGTAGGAGGCGGCCCCAGCTGAGTAGGGGTTGGCTGGGTGATGACCTGGCACCTTCCCACCTCCCCCACCCGCTGTAACCGGACATTGGGTGTCCGGTCAGTAGATCTGACCGGACACTGTCAGGTCTCCTTTTCAACTAGACTTTCCGGTTGAAAACTGGACACCTGTCCACCCTAGCCTCGGGCAGTGCAGTGACCTGACCTGCCTTAAATGTGGCCATGCATATGACCAAGTCCTGGCGATGGGGCCTTCACTCTGAGTCTGTAGAGCCAGGCCGGCTGTGCCAGCGCGTTCTGTGTCCTGGAATGTATCCAGAAACCTGTGGGCAGCCCTGGTGTATTGGCAGAGGCCTGGTCTGGCGATTGAAGCACAGGACTGACTGTCCTGGGGGTGAGATTTGATTCTCGGCCCTGCCATAGGCTTCCTGTGTGGCATGGGGCACGGCACGGCCCCTCTCCCTGACGGTTTCCCCATGCGTGAGGGAATGGGATGCTTGCTTGTCCTCGGTGACAAGTCCCTTTGCTGTCAGTGGGTGCAGCGGGTGTGGCCCCGCGCACCTTTCTGGCCTGTGACTGCGTCCGGGCAGGCTGGTGCCGGCTGACACTGGGCAGGAAAATTGAGCCAACTTGCAGCAAGGAGCGAAGTTTGTGCCACCTCTGACGTGGCACGGGGCGGGCTCTTCACCTGCCTGCCCTACTACACTCTGGGTCCACTCCTGTGGCTGCCCCTCTGTTGGCCCTGAGCCTGGCACCCAGGCACCAGTCACACCTGTGCCGATAGGTGTGAAACACCCTCGTGTTTAACCCCCGGGGTGGACGATGACGTGAGGCGCAAGGGAGCAGAGAATCCGGCCCTGTGTTTCTAGGCGTCGGGTCCGTGCGTGTTTGTCTGACGTCTGTCCATAGTGTGTCCTCACGCGGGGGGTGGGCATTAGCCTCCCTGTGCACGGTGTGTTTTCTGTGCCCACTGAGGAACGTTCGCAAGGCTTAAGGCAGATAGGTACATAAAAGGTTGTTACAAGGAGGAGGGAGAAGAATTGTTCTTCTTAACCTCTGACGATAGGACAAGAAGCAATGGGCTTAAATTGCAGCAAGGGAGGTTTAGGTTGGACATTAGGAAAAACTTCCTAACTGTCAGGGTGGTTAAGCACTGGAATAAATTGCCTAGGGAGGTCGTGGAGTCTCCATCATTGGGGATTTTTAAGAGCAGGGAGGTTCGACAAACACCTGTCAGGGATGGTCTAGATATTTAGTCCTGCCATGAGTGCAGGGGACTGGACTAGATGACCTCTCGAGGTCCCTTCCAGTTTTATGATTCTATGTCCCAGTGTCCCTGGGGCACCGGTGGCTTCCCCCAGCTCAGGCCCGTGCAGGGGGAAGCCGGTGCCCTCTCCCCCGCTGATTGTGTCTCTCTCGATGGATTTCCAGGGCAACGTGAGCTTCGTCACCGAGGGAGATGCCGTGGCGATAGAGAACAGGGAGCTGGTCTCTCAGCTAGCGGAGCTGACCTCCACCCAGCCGGAAAGTCTGCTGAGAACCCTGCTGTACCGCGCGGTGGCCACGGGCGGCGGGGAGGTCATCGAGAAGGGTCATAGTGGCAAGGAAGCCAACTATGCCAGGGACGCCTGCGCCAAGGTAAAGGGGTAGAGGAGCTGGGAACCGGGGCCTGCCGAGTCCCCCTGCCCCTCTGTGTCCTCCTTCCAATCGCCCTGATGCGCCACAGCTCCTGTGGGGGGCGCCCTAGCTGCCCCCTTGCCTTCCCCGTCACTGCCTGCTCGGGGCCAGGCTCCCAGCTGGTACACATGAGCTCGCGGGAGTCATGCTTGCCCCCAGCTACGTGTCAGATTCTCTCTCTCTCCAGGCCAGGCAGCTGTGGGGCAGGCTTCACCCCGTGCTGTGACTGTCACCCTGCCCACAAGGGACTGGGCATCTCTGGCCGCTCTGCGCTGGGCCTGTGGCACCCTGGCTAGTTTGCCATCCCCTGCTGATGGGGATGAGTTAAATGAGGTCACTAAACTGACAGCTGCCGGCCCCACAGCCTGGAGTGGGGCTGTTCTGATGTACCCCACATCCGTCCCCGTCCAAGGCACCCGGGCTGCAATGTCAGGGAGCCTGGGGTGAAGAGTGTGGATAGAAACACAGGCCAGGAGCTGCTCAAAGCCCTTCCCGGGGTCAGCCGCTCCAGACAGCTCCATGGCTGCAGCCATGTGGACGTGGCTGGTTATACCACAGTGAGGATCAAACCCAGAGCCTTCAGCTGCAAAAACCCCACAGCCCCTGTGCTTAAGGTGCATCCTGTCCTGCAGTAGGGTTAAGGCTTATATCCACAGCAGCCACTAGATGGCAGTAGAGTTGCACAGCCATGACATTTCGTCCAGCAGGGGGCAGTAGTGAAACCTGCACCTCAGCCTCCCCCACATGTCCGAGTGCTGACTACCTGTCCCCGCCCCCAGAGGGCGTGGCTTAAGCACGCCCGCTCCTGAAAGGTACAGTGCCCCACACCTGGTGGAAGGAGTTTCACCCTTACCAGCCCCTAGGACTATCTGTCAGGGGGGAACTTTCTGCTTCATGGCGTTTCCCCACCCCCAGGCCATCTACGAGCGGCTGTTCTGCTGGATCGTGGGGCGCATCAACACCGTCATCGAGGTGAAGAACTACGACGCCCGGCTCCACGGCAAGAACACCGTCATCGCCGTGCTGGACATCTACGGCTTCGAGATCTTCGAAAGCAACAGGTAGAGCCCAGCCAGCCACCTCGGGCCACGCAGCCAGCCCGGCTGGAGGCCTGCCCAGCAGGACCCGGCCCTACCCACCGCCTCCTCTCCCAGCATGCACTGGGGCTGGGGTCACGCGTAGGGCTGATGTGCTGTGGCTTGATCCTGGACCGGG